CTTCTGAAAAGTTTGCTGCCACATATTTCATATATGTACAAAGAGAGAGTATCACCACAAAGAAACAGTTATTTGAACAACAACAAAAAAAGCAGAGTATATGAAACTTAATGTTGAGTGCTATGGCAGAATTTCCTCAATCTTCATCACCAAGATCTTCAGATAGAACTTTGCACATTCCTCATCATAATAATTGCATATCATCTCCATTTTACAGATAAGAAAACTGAGGCTCAGAGTGATTCATTGACATTCATTGACATGGTGGAATGGTTAGTAATTATTAGAGTCAAGACTGAACTTTGTTCTTTTGACTACAGATCTGGTGCTTTTTTTTTTTTCAACTTCATGCTGCATGAAAATAAATTAAAATCCATTTTTTTGAAATGAGGAAATATGGGTGGGTGTTTTCATTCTACAGCTTGAACAATTCCGTTCATCACTCAGATTAAAAAAAAAAGATTGGGTTTCTGATTGGAAAGACAGTGGCATTTTTGGGAGAGGATCAAAAAGCCCTACAAGTTGATGTGTATTTAGATGGTCTGAGCATGGCAGCTCACTCTCCCAAAGGTAGGTGGGAGGAAAGCTATTTTGAGTAATCCATACTCTCCACACTCTTTATTCAAGTTGCTCCTTTACCATTCCTCCAATTTCACTGGTCCCTATCCAGCACTCTGACAAGCACATCTGTAAGCTCATTTAGCTCCATCTCTTCCTTGGCTTTGCACCCCTGGCTCTCCACCTGAGAAAACAAACTCAGGGCCTTAGGTTCCAGTGGAGTATTGGCAATTTGCTCCATTTGCAAAGGGGTGTTGGAGTGTTGGGGTGTTGGAGAGGTCAGAGCTCTTGAAGTTTAGGCAGGAGGAGAAAACTGGAACATTTCACCCTCCCTTGTATTTTTGTCAGGAAAAGTTCTTCAACTTGGATCATCATCAAGGAACAATTACAAAAATACCACCTGCTAAAAGGGGCCACTGTTGTCTTGGGTTGAACAAGGCATATCCTTTAATAGGATGCCATCATTAGAACTTTTCAACCAATGATTTAAGCCAACTGTGGTGCTGTGGCTTGATGAAAGAAAGAAAGAAAGAAAGAAAGAAAGAAAGAAAGAAAGAAAGAATTCTTTGCAAAATTAGTCAATTATTTTTTAGATACAGGAGGCCTGCTATAGCATCAATTGCTTAACTTTTTTGTTTTGTTTTGTTTTGTTTTTGGAAGCAGTGGGTTAAATGACTTGCCCAAGGTCACACACCTAATAAGTATCTGAGGCCAGATTTGAACTCAGATCCTCCTGACTCCAGGCCAGTGTTTTATCCACTGCCCTGCCCAGCTGTCCCAGTTGCTTAACTTTTGAATTTGGAGGCTGTGTGATTTACTAGAAAGAACATTGAATTTTGGATCCAAGGATTGAGGTTCAAGTCTGATATTTATTACTTGGGTACTCTTTGAGCCTCAGTTTCCTCATCTATAAAATGAAGGAGTTGGGTTAGACAGTCTCTAAGGTCCTCTCCATCCCTGAGTCCCAGGATTCTTTGGAGCCTGGAAACTTCAGAAATGTCAATTCCTTTTTGGCTTTTCTCTTGGAGTCATCTTCACCTCTTTTGTGTGTGTTTTTTTATTGTGTTGATTTTTAGAACCTTTTTTATACATCCCAAGTTTCAGTGGTTCTCATTGTAAATAGAAAGCAACTGAATTTTCTACTTGTAAATTCCATTTGTGCAAAATATCTGGAGAATAAAATGTCTTAAGTTTCTCTAGTTCTGCAGTGATTTCTATCATTTCATCCAGTGGAGTGCTGCTCTCAATTCAAACACCTAGATGCCTTTATTGATTTTCTTAGCTGGTTTTGATCCAGAAAGCTTGAATTTGGGGGGAGGGGGGAGAAGGTAAAATGAGCTCAAGAAGGAAATGGCAGACTACTCTAGCATCTTTGCCAAGAAAACACCAAATGGGGTCATAAACAGTCTGAATTTTACATTGCATGTAGAGTATTTTGCAAACCTTGAAGTACTATATAAATGCTAGCTATCATTATTATTATATGGCCTTGTTTTCAGTCAATTCAGTCATGTCTGACTCTCCGTGACCTCATTTGGGATTTTCTTGTATAGAATGGTTTTACACATACACACACACACACACACACACACACACACACACACACACACACACACTTGTGTCTATTGGTAGCCTTCTCTGGGGGTGGGAGTGGGGAAGAAGGAAAAACAAATTTACATGATAACTTTATTGTATATTTAAAAGGAATAGCAAATTGTACATAATAGATTTGCAGTTTTATGTGAAATCATTTTTTTTATTATACTATGTTATGGAAATGCTTGTTTTATTCCTTAAATTAAAAATAAAAAAAAGAAATCTATGGGAATTAAAAAAAAAATCTCTTGTAGATAACAAAGGGAGTTGAAAGGGCTTTAAGTCTAGAGTCTTGGGATTTCAGAGTTGGTAAAGATCTTTTGATCTTTTGAATTCAGGAACACGAGTCTTCCTGATTCCAACCTCAGAGCTCTATCCACTTTTTCTCCTTGCTGCCCTCCTTCTCTTTAGTCCTCCCCCCATTTTTTTTCCTGAAATCATTTAGACTATCACCCTAATCTCCTGACCCATTTATCTTACTTAGTTATTTCCAGAACTGATAAGATAGCTCACCCTCATTATCTTAAGCAAGCATCTCTTCTGTAGCATTCCAGACAATCATTCATTCTCTGGGTGAATACCCACTCTACTCCTCAGCCCATTCCAATGTTATTTTGTTTGAGAGGCTGAAATTTGCTTCTCTGCAAATTGATCCTATTTTCTCCATTTGATGAATGTAAGATCCCCCTTCACCATTTAATTAGACTTGATCCGATAGGACATGATATCTGGTACTTTTCTTAAAAAGAGGTCCTGTATTTTGATTCAGATGAAAAGGTACATAATCCATTATTAGTAGTGGCATATTTCAGGGTTATTGCAACCCTCCCCATTCCCACCCCAGACCTGCCCACAAGATACTTTCCCTTCCAGTTCACTGATACCCCAAATTCTTACCTTTAGAGGAGATTTATCCCTTTTGTTTAAGGCTTTGTTTCTTTGTTTAAAAAGAAAATATATTCACTTAACCCCATTGCCTAGCAATACACACACACACACACACACACACACACACACACATACACATATACATACATACATGTATACACATATAGATATATATTTGGAATCAAGAAAACGCCTTAAGCTTTATGGGTTGTGTGATTTATATTAGTGTTGTTGAGTTCATCAAGCCCTACCTTGGGAGTGAATTGTGATTAAGGGGCGAAGGTGGAGAGATGATAGGCTTTAGACCTGGAGCTGGGAGGGCCACTGAAGGAGGGATAACGGTACAGAAACAGAGAGTCTAGAGGCTCATAGGATCATAATTTTAGAGCTAAAAGGGATTGCAGAGACCATCCAGTTCAACCCCTTCATTTTACAGATGAGGAAACTGAGGCCCAAAGAGGTTAAGTGACTTATTTAAGGCCTGATAGGTTAGTAAATGCCACAGTCTAGATTTGATCCCAGTTCTCTGACTCAAGCCTGTGCTTTTCCCACTATAATATTTATAAAAGACATAAAGAACCAAACTATCTATGTTACATTGTTACCTTGCTTGGATCTTTAGTAACTGTTCTGTGACTTGAACCATTTTCTGGGGAGAATGGTAAGTGAGCATCGTCTCTATCTTGTAAATCATCTCCTTGTGCTAGGTACATTGAATAACTTATTTTTATGATATGCCATGCTGGGCAATTATATTGAGTTTTTCAAATAGATTCATATGTTTTGGGAATTTTTTTTCCCTGAACTCACCTGAAGTCCTGATCAAAGTCTGTTTGGAGATCTCTACTAAAATTTAGTCAGTGGGAAATGGTTAACTTGCATTACACAATTGCCTGTAATGATTGCTGGGTCTCAGGCTATCACAATGGGCATAACGACTTCCTTTCTGTCACTGGGATTGCTAAAGGTTAAAACCTATCTATGTATATGCCTCTTTTTCTCTCCCTCTCTCTTGTTGTTCAGTCATATCTGATGTGATCTCATTTGGGGTTTTCTTGGCAGAGATACTAGAGTGGTTTGCCATTTCCTTCTCTAGCTCATTTTACAGATGAGGAAACTGAGGCAAACAGGAGTACATGACTTGCCCAGAGTCACACAGCTAGTAAGTGTCTGAGGCCACATTTGAATTCAGGAAAATGAGTCTTCCTGATTCCAAGCTCAGAGCTCTATCCACTTTGTCTCCTTGCTGCCTTCCTTCTCTCTAGTCCTCCCCCCATTTTTTTTCCTGAAGAAATAAAAGATGTACAATTTTATGATTTGCCTTCTACCTGGAAAGCTCTCTCTCTCTTTTTTTTTTTGTTAGGCAATTGGGGTTAAGTGACTTTCCCAGGGTCACACAGCTAGTAAGTGTCAAGTGTTTGGTCTGAGGCCGGTTTTGAGCTTAGGTCCTCCTGATTTCAGGGCCGGTGCTCTATCCACTGTGCCACCTAGCTGCCCTGGAAAGCTTTCTAATCAAGGAAAACTTTTTTTTTTTCAATGTTGTTTAGTGTTTTCAAGGACTGTATAACTCACACATAGTGGTAATCACCAATTCCTTTATTCCTAATAACTTTCCAGATAATTTGTATTGGAAGACACTACCCCCTGAAGAGTCAACTGTATTCATCAGGATGGATAGCAGCTATTCTATGTTGCCATTATTCTGCCTCTGTGTCCTTAGAAAAAAAGGGAGAAATCTCTATTGTGTCTTAATAGTTATTATTATTTTATGGGTAGGTAGAATCTAAAATAATCACCTAATTTAGAAACCTACTGTTCATAGGAGAATAAACAATTTAGGATATATTCATAGATGCTTTAAGGTGTTTGTAGCTTAAGGTTTCTTAAAAGTAAATATGTGGGGGAATTTTTAAAAAAAGAAATATGATTCTCAGTGTTCTCTCTTTATTCTTTTTCAGATCACAGAACTGTGTGGTGCAAAACGTGTGGGTTATTTTGGTCTAACACAATTTTATGTTGCCCTGAAATTAATTGCTGCAGCACAATCTGGCCTCCCAGTACGAGTAGAGAGTATTAAATGTGGTAAGTGTTTCACACTGTAAATCTCATTACCCAGGAGAGGTTTCTCTCACTTTCTGAGAACTTTTTTTTTAGTGTCTTTTAGGTAGGTCTATTCTATTTATGCCTTTGTTTGCCGACTTCCTCCTTTTGGGATCTATCATAGCAAAGCACTTCAGAGACACCAGTCTTTCCCTTCACCTCTAGGAAATGAAGAAGGCAGTTCAAGGTCACACAGGTAGCAAGTAGTGGAGAATTTAAACCTAGCTCCTCAGGTGCTAATTCCCATTTTCCACTGCAAAAATGGTGCTAAGATTTTTGGGATACCCTGTATTTTTTTTTAAAGGTCCAAAGTTATAGAGTATTGTTATTGTTGTATAGTCATGTCTATCTTAGATACTGAAGTGGTTTGCCATTTCCTTTTCCTGCTCATTTTACAGATGAGGAAACTGAGGCAAACAGGGTTAAAGTGACTTGCCCAGGGTCACACAGCTAAGTGTCTGAGGCCAGATTTGAACTCTAGAAGATGAGTCTTCCTGACTCCAGACCCCAGACCGCATACTCTATCCACTGTGCCACCTAGCTGTCCCCTTATGTATGTATTTTTCCTCTATACATAAATTTTCAAAACATCTATCTGCCTGTCTGTCATCTTTTTTGTTTATCTATGTATGTCTTCAAATAGAAACATGTATTTTTTTTTTTGTCCTGGACCTGTGATTTCAATGATATCCCATTGTTGAAATTCTTGCCACAGACGCAGAGCAACAACTCATCTGTGATTTGTAGTTTTAAGACAGTTGTGTGGGATGCTGAGAGGTTAAGGGACTTGTCCATTTTCTCATAATCAGTATGTTTCAGACATAGACTTTGATATTGTCTTCCTGACTCCAAGGCTGACCTATCAACTATATCTACATAGTCTATTGTTGTTGCTTTTCAGTCATGTCTGACTCTTTTCTATTCCATTTGGGGTTTACTTGGCAGAGATACTAGAATAGTTTACCATTTCCTTCTCTAGTTCGTTTTACAGATGAGGAAACTGAGGCAAAGAGGGTTAAATGACTTGCCCAGGGTCACACAGCTAGAAAGTGTGTGAGACTAGTTGAACTCAGGTCTTTCCGATTTCAGGCTTGGTGCTCTATCCACTGCACTACTTACACACACACACACACACACACACACACACACACACACACTCGAGTGAGGCCCAAGAAATTGTAGGGTTTGTCATTGATCTCTGGTGACTTCCACCTGACCAAAAATAATTAGATAGGGTTGGAGAAGCTAGTTATAGATGGTATCTGCAGTCAATGTGTAGCTTTCATCACAAGCTAGTGAGTATTCATTATCTGCATGATGGCTATAAAGTAAGTTTCTCCTCACTAAGTGCTATTTATTTCATTTTCTACAGGAAGCTTTTCCTGACTTCTCTTCATTCTAGTATCTTCCCTCATTTAATTATTTCCTATTTATCCTGTATATAGATTGCTTTGTATATGTTCATTTTCATGTTGTTTCCCATGTTAGATTGTAAGCTCTTTGGTAGGGTCTGCCTTTTGCCTCTTTTTTGTATTCCTAGCACTTTGCACAGTACCTGGCGAATAAATAGGTGCTTAATAAATGTTTATTGACTGACTGATTGATGGTATGAAGGAGATAATGTACATGTAAGAGTCTAAATTGATAATGACTCCCTGAGACTGAATCAGTGGGTATCATTAGGCATTTTATAATTTGAGCCATTAAAACAATTCCCTCTCCATTGTTCATTATTTATGTGCTTAGCACAATGCCTGGCAAATAGTAGGTCCTTAGTAAATACTTGGTATTTGACTGGCTAAGATGTAAGAATATTATTATCTTGTTTGATCCTCACAACAACCCTTGGAGATAGGTGCTATTATGATTTTAGGCCTAAATGTCATAGGTAAAGCTCTCTGAAGAGTTATTTGCATTCAGCTTTTGCTTCTGTTCTAAAGAGCAGTGAGGGCAAGTGTGGGCCAGGTCTGGAGCTGCCACTTTGAATCATATGGCTTGTTGATTGTTATTAAGCTATTACCCTAATCTTTGTTCAACAGAACAGAGATCTTTCCAGTCCAGTAACAAACACCCTCTGATTGAACCCTCTGTGAAGGGCAGTGGTGACTTCAAATACACCTACCCATAGTCATGGATGATTCATGTATTTTATGGGACCTTTTGTACTTGGTTATGCATGCGAGGCCTTCCTATTTACTAAACGTAATCTGTATTGCAAAAACATTTGGATAATTGAAAAAATCAGATTTGCTTGATAAACTTTGGGACTATTACATAAATCATCTCTGTGAATGTTTTAGCTTCTGCCTGGCCCCATTGTGCAGAATCAGTAGTAAAGTAGGAAGGAGGTAGATTTTTGCTCAGTAAAATTGTTGTACATGTTTTGGAGATACTTTTCTAGCTTACTCTCACACTGGCAGACTGTTTCCTCAGAAGACAGCTAAGGACTTCTTATTCTCCTCTGGGTCCTAGAAATAGTCCTGGGTCAGCTAGGTGGCACAGTGGTTGAAGCACTGGCCCTAGAGTCAGGAGGACCTGAGTTCAAATGCAGCATCAGACATATAACACTCACTAGCTGTGTGACTCTGGACAAGTCACTTAACCCCAGTTGCCTCATATTAAAAAAAAAAAATCTTATGGAAATGAATGTTGAAAACTAGTCCTGTGGGGCTATTTCATGAACCCCAACCTGTGTTAATATCAATTAGTCAGAGTTAAATATTTGTTAGAAAAGGGGTACTTACCGAGGGAGTATAGTAAAAACTATTGTTATAAATGCTCCTCCCAAAAATCTGTACTACCCTTTGTCAGGAAAATGTATTCCAGGGGAAAATGGGCTCAAGTTTGATAAAGGATTGACTCTCAGCTACTGGGAGTCCTTTTTGCTAGAGCCTCAAGTTTTCACCTAAGGTATAGTTTTTGATGGGCTTCTTGTAAAGTCCTAAATTAGCTTTTCTTCTGTGTGTCTAGTTTGGCTCCCAAAGCAGACTCTGTGTCATCTGTTCTGGGGGTACTGCTATGACTACGGTGTCAATGGGAAAATCCAAATCCTTTGTCTTTACGAGGTCCCCTTCAGCCAGTGGAAGGAGACTGAGGTAAAGGTGGAGTCTTCTACTCCCTCCATCCCCAAAGGGATTCCTTCTAGGCTTGACTAGAATGGCTGTCTCCTCTCTTCCTGGTTCCAGATGAGTTTGCTATCCTATACAAAACCTATAGAGCATGGCCAAGTCTCTTCAACAAATCCAAATACACCTCCTATTCAATGTTACTCCATTTCATCTAGTGACTTATAAGGAATTCCACATTGAAAAGGAATTTTCACACTTAGCCTACAATCCAATAGAAGTAGCTAGGCCTTGTTCACACTTAGTTCAGTGGCAATCCTTCTACACTTTATCAGCTCACTCTCCCACCCTCCATAGCAGTTCTTCTAAACCTTTTCATTCTTTCTCAAACCTCCCATGTTCTCTCAGCTGAGAGCTGTGCATCACATTTTAAAGGAAAAAATGAGGGCATTAGCTACAAGTTCCCTCTTTCCCCCTGTTCCTCATCTCTTATCACTCAAGTGCCTTCTGCAACTTTCTCCACCTTCACCCCTGTTTCACATGATGAAGTGGCCTCATTCTTTACCAAGGCTAACCCCTCTATCTGCTCAAGCAATCCCATTCATCCCGTCTCCTCCAACAATTGCACCCTCTGTCACTTCCACTCTGTGACAATCTCTCCCTGTGTACTGGCTCCTTTCCTAAGGCCTACAAACATGCCCAGGTCTTACCCATTCTGGAAAAACTCTCATCTGATCCTTCCATCCCTGCCAACTTGTACTGTGTCTTTTCTGCCCTTTGGAGCTAACCTTGAAAAGGCTGTCTACAATAGGAGCTTCCACCTTTTCTCTTCTAATTCCCTTCTCAATCTCTTACAATCTGGCATCTGACTTTATCATTACACTGAAATTCTTCCCTCTGAAGTTACTAACTATCTCTTACTTGCTCAATCCAGAGGCCTTTTCTCAATTCTCATTCTCCTTAACCTCTCTGCAGCCTTTGACATTGTTGATCATTTACTGTCCTTCTTGATACTCTCTCCTCTCCAGGTTTTCTCCTGGTTGTTGTGAGGATCAAATGAGGTAATGCCAAATATAATAGGACAGCCCATGGAGTCATTGACTTAAAGTTGGAAGGGAAACAAGCAAGGGAAAAGGACAAGCACTTATTAATCACCTACTGAGTGCCAGATGCTGTGCTAAGTGCTTTGCAAATATCTCATTTGATCCTCACAACAACTAGCAAGTTATATGAGGCCACATTTGAAGTGAGATCTTCCTGACTCGAGGCCACCAGTAGCTTCTAATAAAATGGGAAATATTGGTTGGAGCCAGATAATGAAAAAGTTTAAATGTCAAACAAAGGAATTGGTGTTTGATGTTATTTGGAGGCTCTGTCATGCAGTGGCCTGTCAGTGGAGCAGATGGAGTATAAATCCAGTGTCAGCCACTAACTAGCTGTGTGATCCTGGGCAAGTTACAGCTTCTTTGCACTTGAGTTTCCTCATCAGTAAAGTGAGAGAATTAGATTCGTTGACCTCTGAAATACCTTTCAACTCAAAATCTTTGATTCTAGAGGTAACAGGGAGATAATGGAGTTTTTTTTTTGGCATAGTCAGATATGTGCTTTAAGGATATCTTTGGCAGCTATGTGGAAGATGAACTGGAGAGGGGAAGGATAAAGCTGTAAGAGGGATCAGTTAAAAGACTGTTGGAATACTACAGGTGAGGAGTAATGAGGGCCTGAACTATGATGGTAGCTGCATGAGTAGAAAGAAGGAGTTGGATGCATGAGAGGTTGTGGATATAGAATGGATAAGACTTGTCAATCATTTGGGTATATAGGGTAGGAGAGAATGAGTCAAGAATATTGCTAAGAGGGGCAGTTAGGTGGCACAGTGGATAGAGTACTGGCCTTGGAGTCAGAAGGACTTTAGAGAAAAGGTGATAATTTTTTTTAAAAAAGATATTTTGATTTTGAGATGCCTATACAGCATTCCGGTCAAAATATTCAGTAGACAATTTATAATGTGAGACTGGATCTCAAGAGAGCTTATGGGGCGGTACATTTAGATCTGAGAGTTGTCTGCATAGGGATAATAATTAAACCCAAGGGAGCGGATGAGTTCAAATATCAGGAGAGAAGAGATTCTTAAGACAGAACCTTGGTGAATGCCCACATTAAAGGGGCAGGATATGGATGATGATCTGGCAAAAGTGACTGAGGAGTGGTAAGACAGATAGGAAGAGAACCAGGAGAGGGCCAATGTCATGAAAACCTAGAGGAGACAGTATCCAGGAGGACCAGTATCAGAGAAAGCCATCCACTTCAGAGAAAGAACTGATAAATAGAAGTATTCATAGTATTTTTTGGGGTGTGTGTGTGTGTGTGTGTGTGTGTGTGTGTGTTGGGGGCAGGCAGATAACTGTGTCGTACATAGGCACGCATGCGTGCACATGCATCTGTCTGTCAATCTGTGTCAAACAATGGCCTTTAGTATGGACTGAGGAGAGAGGGAGATAGTTTGGAACTTAAAATGTAACACAAAATAAATTAAAAAAAGAAAATATGATTGAGAGAACAGCAGATCGAGCAATTAAAGGATCACTGGTACATTTGGAGAGAACAATTTCAGTAGAATGATTAAGTCAGATTTGCAAAGGGCTAACAAGAGGGAGAGGAGTGGACATGGAGACAGTGAGTATAGATACCTTTTTAAAGGAATTTTTAGAAAGTGTTTTAATCCAGGAGGAGAACTAGATTAGATTCAGAGGATCTTCTGTAGTTAGTATACCCTGAGCCACTTCGTTACAAATTAGACTGAGGCAAAGCCCCTTCTGAAAGCAGAAACCTAGAATTTCTTTTTATGTGCTGGCCTTCTGAGATACTGGCTTTTTTTTTTTTAAGCACCTAACTGTCATGAGTTTTTAAGTGTTGCTGGTTGGTAAGGAAACATTTGGAAATGGCTTCTTTCTTCTCTATAAGGAAGGTCAGTGTCATATCAGGTTGGTTACTCTTGTTTGTATCCTATTTAGGATACTCATGGGAGTATTTCCTTTGGGTTCTTGGGTGATGATTTACCCAGGGATTGTTTGTTGCTGGCTCCTCTGGATCAAGTGAGATAGAGATGCATACCTCCTATGGGTGTAGTAACTGGAAAGAGACCTGATATGGATGGTAGAAAACCAGGGAATCTATTTACCCTTGGGCTGCCTGCATCCTGTTTTCTCTCACTGAGATGTTTTCTGGCTTTCTCACAGCACCAATCATTGGAGATGCAGCTGCGTTTTTGGAAGGGAAAACTGGTGGAGGGCAAAGTGACATTTATTTGTCTTGTCTTTAACAATGATACAGATGCAAATGATTATGGGTAATCTCTAATATTACATCCATTTTAGATTTCTTTGTGTCATATGATTGTTGCACTGATTTGGGAGAGAGTATGATTCACTCTGCCAAGAACCAAGAGTGTACATGAGTATTATGAGCTTTTCCAGAGCTATTTTGTATTTTTGAAAGACACATAGTTATAACAAAATAGTCTCTTGTAGATTGTGTGTAAAGAAATGAGGGCTGTAGCCAATGATTTTGACAGTGGAAACTCTATGGGCTTTGGATTGATTTAGATAACTATATCATTTTCATCTTTGAGTTATGAGAGCAAGATGGAAAGTACAGAATGAAGATTCCCTGCAGAATTGCACCAGATGAATTTGGAGCCTCAGGGCTTATGGATGATGATGTTAACAGTTGGCATTTATGTAGCACTTTATCATTTACAAAATCTTTTTTATATGTATTATCTCATTCTGGGCTCATGACTGTCCTGTGAGGATGAGTACCAGCACTGTTATTGTGCTTCTTTTTCGGATGAGGAAACTGAGGCTCATTGAGTTCAAGTGACATATCCATGGTCACACAGACAGCACAAATCAGGTGTAGACTTTGAACTTCAGTCTTCCTGACTGGACTTGATCCATTCTTATTTGTTTATTTAAATGTTTGTTTTTGTTAATGGTTAACACATTTTTAGAATAAAAAAATTCATACACATAGAGACAGAATTGCATGGGATTATCATTCCTAAGGTGACTGTGTTATAAAAATGTGCCAGTGGTTAGATCTGTATAGGACCATATCTCAAGCCATAGTGTTGAACTAAGGGATGAAGTGGGAGGCTGTTCTGAAAGCTGAATTTGTTCTGTGAAGAAGCAACTGCAATTTTAAAAATGTCACAGAAAATACTCTTCATGTAATCATAACATATTTCTATGATGACCTCATAATATTCCTCTTTCTGGAAGAAAATCATAGGTTTGAATTTATTTTTCGAAGTTTTGGAGTTTTCCCTCTAAGATGATTCATTTTTGAGACGTTGAATGCCCCTTTTCAATGAGTTCTTAACATTGTCTCACTTGAGGTTATCTGGTTCTGTTCCTAAAGAATTGCCTCTGCCTCGATTTATGGCACTGAAAAATGACAGCGAAATAAGATACAGCAATCCAGTGGAGTTTCATGGAATGAAGTGTCAGATTCCATATGTAACCATGGAAAAGAATTCCTTCAAGAGAGTGGATGATGGGGAGAAACAGGTAAAAAAAATCTATTTAAGGATAGATACATGCACACACATACACACACACACATGCAATACATATATATGTATATATGTATATGTGTATCTATATATCTGCTTATATATTACATTGTTAGTGAATCATTTTAGTCATGTCTGACTCTTTGTGACCCCATTTGGGGTTTTCTCGACAGAGATTCTGGAATGGTTTGTCGTTTCCTTCTCCAGTTCATTTTCCAGATGAGGAAACTGAGGTTAACAGGGTTAAGTGTCTTGCCCAGGGTCACACAGCTAGTAAGTGTCTGAGGCTAGATTTGAACTCACAAAGGTAAGTTTTCCTGACTTCAGACCCAGTATTCTGTCCCCTGTGCCGGTGAGCCACTTAGCTGCCTATTCATATATTATATATAATATATCACACACACACACACACACATGCACACACACAGAGAATTGCATGAAATTAGAAAGTCATTCCTAATATATATTGCATATGTATTCCTAATATATATTCTTAAGATGTAATGTATGTATACGTGTGCTAATATAGATATATATATTTATATATCTATGTATCTATTTATCTATCTAATATAAAAGAGTATGAGAGGCATCATGACATATGGCCTTGGAATCAAGATGGCCTGGGTTCATGTCCTTACTGACACAGTCTGGTTATGTGATGAAGTGGGTAAGCCATTTGATCTGCTAGTGCCCTAGGCCACTCTCTCAGAAGATGAATTGCAGAGAAGGAGCTGGCTTGCCCAGGCAGAAGTACAAATTCCCCATACCAAAGAATGTGCTAGCCTACTCTTTATCTTCAGGGAGATTCTACAGCAATGCCCTGCCACCATCACAGCTTCTATTGCCCTAGAATTAGTTGTATAGAAAGGCAACTCTGGCCTCTCCCTTTCTTCCCAATCTCTATCCTCCCACCCATTTAAGAGACCCCATTTTATACCTGGGATGAAATCTCCCCAGGAGAATTATGAACAAAAATTCACATAAATGATATTGGTAGGTTTGTTGTCTTTCAGTTGTTTCTCACTCTTCGTGACCTCATTTGGGGTTTTCTTGGCAAAGATACTGGAGTGCTTTGCCATTTCCTTCTCCAGCTCATTTTATAGATGAGGAAACCGAAGCAAACAGGGTTAAGTGACTTGTCCAGAGTCATACAGGTAGTAAGTGTCTGAGGCCATATTTGAACCCAGGAAGATGAGTCTTTCTGACTCCAGGTCCAGCACTCTATCCACTCTGCCACCTAGCTGCCCAATGGTAGGTGTTGGAGGTAAAGCAAAGAACCCATAGATCCTTCATTATCAACTCTGCAGGAGGGTGAAGTCATAGAATTTATTTTTATTTCTTAAAATTTAATGATGTTTTGTTCTAGACACTATTGCCATTTCCCAGTACACCATCCTGTCCCCTTTTAAGAAAACAGCTAACAAAATCAACTGATGGAGCGACTTTGTCAATTTATACAACATTTTTCATTCATCGTCCTCTTTCCCATCTTTACTGAGAGCATGAAGATAAATTTTACCATTTTGGTCATTGCAGGGATAGATTGGACTAGATGGCTTCTGAGGGTCATTCCAACTCTAAATTAATGTTTGAATCCTCACTCCCACTATCTTTCTGGTGGGGATGTAAAAAAGGAGCACCCTTCTATTAGCTCTCTCTGTCTTTCTCTATGTTTTTCTGAATCTGTCTCTTTTTCCCCTCCTTTCCTAATAATAATTCATGTTTATGCATTGATGTAAATGCTTTCCTACAACATGCTTTCCTACACTCCACATTGCTTAAAATAATTTATGAATCTCAAGGCAGAAAACAAAATTGTGTAAGCTAACTTGTCCTATATAAGCCAACTAGCATGGCAGGTGTTTTTATGAACTTCAAGTTTAGTGGGTTGAAGGTGCTTTGTGAATTTGATTTTGTTGATGTCTATAAATATAAGAATTTCATCCACAGAGTCTTTAGAGTAGACTTTGTAGAAATCTTTATCAATAAGTAAAAATTGAACTTATCCAGGAGAAAATTCAAATTGAGTTCTATGATTACAGTTTCATGTGATTAATGACTTTTCATTTTCCAAAGAAAAATATCATATGATTAAGAGGTATAGCCTCATTTGAATAGTCTAACTACCTCCTGGCAAGTCTTTGCTTTCTGGCAGATGTTTAAAACAGCATATATTTATATCAAACTCCTTTTCATTTTAAAAGACAGTTTCCCATTTGTAATACTAGCTAAGTCATTTCATTATTTCTCTGTTACACATCTTAGCTGCAAACTGGAATGTTCTGTTTTGTCAGTTGTCACTACTAAATCCTATTTTTGGTTCTTTTGCAACAGGACACGATGTCTCCCACAATGTCACCAATTAGTTCTCCTCCTTCTTCTCCATCCAATTACCAAAGGGTACCTTTGACCTATGGTTATGGCAAATTGAGGAGTGGGATGGATCAGATACATGCTGGTAAGATGACATTTGGAGCACCAATGTCCTATTGCCTGCCTTAGTCCATGATCCTTGATCTAAAATGCTTTTAAGAAACCAGCCCACCAATATTCTAGATTTAATGACAGCTGTCTTTAGAAATATGAATCAATAATTGAATTTTGTTGAGGGGGTTGTTTTTCTGTCCTAACATTGAATATAGTATAACAATGCTTTCTTGTTTTATGTCCTATACATTGTTGTTTTAATTTGTAAGCAACTGTTTATAGACATTTTTAGATTTGTATAGCATCTGGAGTGTTGTGGTCAGTCCTGGAATCACAGTTTAAGAATATTGACAGACTGGAGGATGTCTAGAGGAGGACAGTCAGGATACTGAGAGTATGGGAGGCTGTGATATGTGAGGACTTGGTGAAGGAGCTGGGGAGGCTTAGTCTGGAGCAGACTTGAGAGTGGGAGAGAACCAGGACTAGAAATGTTAAATAAAGGTTACAGAGAAACAGATTTTTAACTTGTAGGGAAAAACTTCCTGATGATTAGAGCTGTCCAAAATGGAATGTGTTGTCTCAAGAGGCAAGTGGACATTGGAAGTTTTCAAGTGGAGACTTTCTGACTTATTTTTTATTTATAGGATTTATAGATGGGAGTCCTGTTTAGATATGTTTAGATACTGATAAGGAAGGCAAGACCCTTGACCTTTTACCCAAATGAATTTGGGTGTCTGCTTCTTGAGGGGAGGTGACAAATAGACTGATCTAGGAGAAGCCCATTATCTCAAGTACCACTTAAAGCCACTTTAGGAGACAATTAGATTCAAGTAGGCTGGTCAGTGAAATACAGAAACTAACCTGGGACCCCCAGGAAGCTTAAAACTCTGAACTTCTGTCCCTGGTTACCTCATCTCCCCACCCACAGTGGATTTTCCCCTATAAGCCTCTCCTGGCTAGTGGGAGTCCCCATTTAGCCTGCTAAATGTAGTCTCCCTTGGGAGGTGGCTGCCTCCTCTCCCTCGGGGCTGTTCCCTCTTCCTGGCAGGGCTGTCTCTCTTAAGGAGAGCCCCTCTCTCTTAAGCTGGGGTTTCCTTTAAGCTGTGTCTCCATTTAAAGGGTGGAAGAGTCTGCTTGGTATGTGTATTATCCACAGTAAATGCCTTTACTTGATTTGGAGACAACCTGAGCGAATTCTTTTGAGATGACCTTGCACCCCAACAATTTGGGGTGCCCCTGAACCTCAACAATAGGTCTAGATAACCTCTTCCAAGACTGAGATTCTATGACTTAGTGATACAGAATGTAGAAAGTTAAACACAAAGGAACATGATTCATGACATTATAGATCTAAATTTTAAAAAAATTAATTTTTATTACTTTTATTGAATGTTAAAATGCAGTTAAATTTGGACCACTAAACAGGATAATGATCCACCAGATTACCACTTTTGGTTATCTCCAGTTTATCCTGTATATTTTGTTGTTGTTGTTGTTGTTGTTGTTAGTTCTTTCAGATGTGTCTGACTTAATGTGACCCCATTTGAGTTTTTCTCATCAAAGATACTAGAATGGTTTGCCATTTCCTTCTCTGGCTCATTTTCCAGATGAGGAAACTGAGGCAAATAGGATTAAGGGACTTGCTCAGGGTCATACAGCTAGTGTCTGAGGCCAGATCTGAAATGAGGAAGATGAGTCTTCTTGACTCCAGGCCTGGCACTCTAGATATCCTTTTTATACTTCTACATAATTGTTTGCATGTTGTCTTCCTATTAGATGTGAGCTCCTTGAGAGCAGGGACTCTTTTTCTCCTTTCTTTGTATCCCTGACACTTAGCACAGTGTCTGGCACACAGTAGGAGTTTAATGAATGTTTGTTGACTGACTACCAGATTTTATAATTGCTTATATCATTAATATAAATATTTAACCACAGCAATTTGGGACCAAGAATAATGTTGAGAACACCTTTCTTAATTCCCACTGGCATCATCCTAGTGCAGAATCTCATTACTACCTACATCCTCATTATTAGCCACCTGGTTTATTGCAGTAGCCTCTTAATGGGTCCTCTACTTCTCTAGTCCTCTAACTACTACCTGTATATAATCTTTTTTTTGCATATGAACCTTTGATGAGTGTTACATTGGGAGGGTGTGGTGACTAGCAATGGTCTTCTCAGCCCTCTCCTCCTAGCTTCCTTTATCTCTGGGGATCTAATCAGCCACACCTTATTATAATAATTAGTACATTCTTTAGCCTAAGGGTAATATAATAAGGGTAATATAATCTTCATCCATAGGACTTCTGCTCTACAGCTTAATGGAGTTTATATAGACAAAAAGTTATTTGTAAGATCACAATCTATCCAGAGCCCCCAGTTAGAAAAATCTTTATTATTGGAACAGAGATTTGCCTCTCTACCTTAATTTAAATTTATCCCTTTATCTTAATCCAGACAATCAACAAAAGAATCAATAAGGCTTTGATTTTTAGTTTGTCCCTACTAGTATAAATGCTCGCAATGAAAACTGAACAATCTCATGAGCTGGCTCCAGCACTCTGTGGTCCAGCTAACCTGGCTTATTCTTTGCCATCTGAACACACTTTGTTCTGCGCAACCTTCATGCTTTTCTTCAGATCATTCTCTGTGTCCGGAATGCCTTCTGTCCTCCTCTTCACCGGTTTAATTCCTACCCACTCTTTAAAGCCCAATGCAAATGGTGCCTCCTCCATATTCTTCCCCAATCTAATTGTTTTGTAATGACTTTTCCCTTATGACATCACAAAACACTTTATTTTGCTCCTAGAATATTAATTATGTCATACTGAAGAGGTCTAGAGTTTTAGGGGTGCTGGGACCCCGAGATCATGACACACAGGTCATGCCAAAAAGAATTCGACCCAAGCCTTCTTTCAGCCAAAGACAAGGTTTATTAAGGATCCGCCATATTAGCCAGACTCTTAAGGAATCTGAGCATCTGTGAGCTATTGGCTAGATTGTAAAAATCTGAGCACCTTAAAATTTGAGACAAGATGGATCTTATATACAGAAAGACTATGGGAGGGATCTAGGAGTGACCAAGTAGTCTAGGATAGAATTGGGCCAAAGGAGAATGGAGCCTAGATAGGATTAAGAGTGGGAAGTGGCCTGGAGCCATAGGGAGGTAACACAATGGAGGGCTAGGCTAGGCCAAGGGTAACAGAATTGGGAGATTGGTTATAGCCACAATGAAAGGCCAGTTAATGGAGTTATGGCCTCTGGGGAATGCCAGAGACCTCCTTGATCAAGTGGGAGAATTCAAGGACAGTCCAAGGATTTTCTAGGGCCCATAGACAAATGGGGCCCAAAATGGGACAAAGGTCTCAGTTTGAGGCCATACCCCATCATTACCTCTGTTCCCCCACTTCATTGTACTATATACTTTCTATTTTATTAGAATGTATAAACTCCATTAGAACAGGTGCAGTGAATTATCTGAACTTTGTTATCTCCTCAGCACCAAGTATAGTGCTCTGTACACAGTGAGTATTTAATAAATCTTTGCTGAGTTTTTAGTAAAGCATTTTGCTGACAGAAGCTAGACATTGGCTTGGCCATACTGTCTATTTTAAATTCTGCTGGTCACGTTAATGGTAAAATTTCAGTTGCTATTGGGGATGGTGGCATTTTGAATAGCCAGGCTCTGTGTCCTTAGCACTTTGTAAATTCTCCTTGGCATCTTTTCCTCTTGGGGTTCTGGGTCGCAGTTTAAAATGTGACCAATCATACTTATTTTAGAATTGAACATGTGTGATCTGCTTTTCTGCTGCGTCAGGATATAACCCAGCATCTGCAGGTTTTTGCTGCACTGAAAAGGAGTGCTGACTTTCAGTGAAAAGGAAAAACATTAACAATTTATGCAAGGTTATGTGAAATAAGACATCCATATCCATACCTTAGCTTTAGGTGTCAGGAGGGACATTCAAGTGGCAATTGAATTATCTTGCAAATGTTACTGCTCCTTGACACATGAAACTGCACATGCTCATGCACAACTCATCCTATTTCTTTCAATTAGTCACTCTTTCCCATCAATTGTTTCATTAACTTTCTAGTCCCTTAGACTCATATGCTTTTTGTAATTTCCTCCTGTTCTCTTCAGTCAGTTCCATCACCAAATTCTACTGACCATTTTTACAATCAATCAATCAATCATTCAACAAACATTTAGTAAGCTATGCACCAGGCACTGTGGCAGACACTAGGGATATAAGGCCAAAAGTTAAACAGCCCCAGCCTTCCAGGTGATGGGGTTGGGATCTGGGCCCCAGAAAGGAAAAACCCTGGACTTTCCCACTTGGCCAAATCTCTGGTGTTCGCCTGAGGCTATAATCCCATTAACTGGCCTTTCATTGTGGCTACACCCAATCTCCCAATTCTGTTAATCCAGCCTGGCCTTCCTTTGTTTTACCTTCCTATGCCATACATACCCCCAGCCATTTCCCACCCTTAATCCTAGCTAGGCTCCAGTCTCCCTTGGCCAAGAGGTCCAGGTCCCAGGAATTCTGTTCACCCCATTTTACTGGCCACTCTCAGGTCCCTCCCACATTCTTTCTGTATATAAGGTCCACCTTGTCTCCATTAAGATGCTGGGATTCTTATAATCTAGCCACTGCTCAGATTCTTAAAATCTAGCCAATAGCTTACTAATGTTCAGACTCCCAATATGTTCTAATAAACCTTGTCTTTGGCTGAAAGAAGGCTTGGGTCGAATTCTTTTGGGCAGGACCCGCGTGTTGTGATATTGGGGTCCCAGTACGCCTGAACCCCTAAACCACATCACAGGCACTTAAAGGTTTCTCAGATTTCTCCCTTTCTGTATTTAAGGCCACCACTCTGGTCTGGTCTCTTCCAGTCTATTAGCCATCTAGCTGGTCTCTCTGCATTTGGTCTTTGCTAGTCCATCCTATACCTAACTATGTGACAAAATGTGACTTTGGGCAGCTCTTGATTATAACTAAAGATCATTAGAGCTAGAGAGGACCTTAG